TAGCTTATATATATATAATCAAACTTTATATATAATTAGCACTAGAATCAATATAATACATATCTTTTATATTACATAATTTTATTAAGATCTTTTCTTTTAGGATTTTTTTATAAAGAAACCAAATTATGAACAGTCTAAAACAAATCTACAAAATTTAAACAAGTCAACTAAAAAAATAACAAATCAATCAGACTCTTATGTATCTGAAACGATCATAATACTATTGTTCCACTTTGTGCAATTGCATGTAGAAAAAGAGGGGTTTCTATGAGGTTTTTGGTCAATGATGCAAATGAGTATATTATGATTAATATGAACAAATTACAAAAATATTCAACAATTATATCAAAGTAGGTAATAACACAATGTTTGTTTGATGAATATAAATATTTTTATGATAATATATGTAGGAGATAAATTGATTTGTACAAAACAATTCTCATAATACACATCATGATTATAAATCAATATTTTCACATATTTTTTTAATGATTTTGAATCAATTATAAAGCTTGATATAATAAAGGATTGATATATAAAACTTATTATATATATATATATAGATATATATATATATATAAAAGAACAATCAATAATGGTAAGGTAGTTTCATATATCAAAGTAATTATTGATTATTATTAATTTTATATATAAACGTGATCATCGACTCATTTAGCTAACTTAAATAATTAAAAAAAATTATAATCAACGCGCAACGCTCGATGTCAAAACACTAGTGTGTGTATATATATATATATATATATATACACACACATACATATATAATTCTGAACAATAAACGATGATATTGTAAGATTGATAATGACTATTGTGATCGAGTAGAATTTATAATAATATCACATGTGATGTAAATGTTTTTGTATTTTCGTAAACCCTTATAAAGAATATACTAGTTGTGTACCCGTGCAATGCGGCGGAAGCCATGAATTTTAACGATTTTGAAGTTCCACTGGTTTTATAAGATAAGATTTAACGATGATATATGTTACACTTGGTCGTTACATATTAATACAATTTGAATAAATAAGAGTTATGGTTTCAATTACAGACAATCGATGAAAAAAATTATATGACAGTTTAAAATCTAATATATCTAAAATCCAACATATTTAAACGACTCCACAAATGTGTTCGATTTACACCAAGAGCAAAGAACCAAGAAACATGAGTTTTAAGATAAACACTCAAAACCAATAAAGAAAACTACAAATTTGACATATCATAAGCCATGAAAAGACCAAAAAAGATGGGTTTTAGAATGAAATTTCAACTGTTTACCCTCTTTCTTGTCCAGAAACTCAACTTAAGGTTGAATTAATACATGTATATATATATATTTCAAAAAAACCCAAGAACATATTAATTCAGAACATATTATACAGTGCAATTTGAACAACTTAACCCCAAAATATATACTATATATATGTATAAATAAATAACTATAAAAGTATAAATCGTAAATATTAAAAATATTTTTTCTCAGTATATATAACATATAATAATATAATTAAGTCAAAAACTATTCAATATTGGACTCATTTCGAAGGTATTAACGAGACGATTATAATGGTGTAACTTGTTAAAATAAAAATGTATTTTTTAAACATGTTTTAATTGATATACGATTATGATATTAATTTGATAAAAGTTTAAAATAAAATATTTAAAAGTAAATGACGTAAAGTAAATTAATTAACTAATTATAAGGGTATAAAGTGTAAATTTAAAATTATAATTTTAAAAAAATCGGTTGTGAGAGGGTGGGTGTATGTGAGGAAAGGAGGGGGTGAAAAGATGAAAAGTGATATAAAGGGTATCTTGGTCATTTAGTATTTTAAGACTTTAAGACTTTTGTTAAATTTGTTCTATAAGATAGTATAGATTATAAGAGTATAAAGTATAAATTTAAAATTATAATTTTAAAAAAATCGGTTGTGAGAGGGTGAGTGTATATGAGGAGAGGAGGGGTGAAAAGATGAAAAAGTGATATAAAGGGTATCTTGGTCATTTAGTATTTTAAGACTTTAAGACTTTTGGTAAATTTACTTTATAAGATAGTATAGATAAAGATTTTTAAGAAATTAAAATAATTATCTAAAAGCAAATTACTTCGTCAAGTTAATCATAATCATAATATGGA